TTCTTTGACCTTCAATCTTTCCCAGCATCAGGGTCTTCTCCAGTGAGTGCTCCCTTCTCATTGGGTGGCCAAAGTCTTTGAACTTCAGTTTCATTATCTGGCCTTCCAGGGAACAGTGAGGGTTGATTTCTTTGAGGACTGACTGATTTGATCTCCTTGCAGTCCAAGGGACTCTCAAGAGTCTTCTCCAGCACCATAGTTCAAAAGAATCTATTCTTTGACGCTTGGCCTTCCTTATAGTCCAACTCTCGCAGCCATACATGACTACTGGGAATACCATTGCTTTGACCATGTTGGCAGGGTGATGTCTCTACTTTTTATCAAGATCCTTTAGGTCTGATTTATCTTTCCCCCCGGGAAATACATGGATGATCCAATGGCACAGGCATGTCCAAGGAGAGCTGACCCCCCCCCCATCTTTCCCAGGAAAAGTTACATTGCCTGATATCTTAATGACCCTTGCCGTATAACTTAATCCGGAAATAGAGGGAAGTGAGCCATATTAACGCATGTAGGTCTTTTCATTCCCACTCGTTTGCTATGGAATCAGTCGATCAACTCTTAACCATGCTTCCTTTGAAGTAAAGTCCTCAGTTTGGTTTAGGTGGTGGTGGCAGAAAGGGCCATTGAGTCACCGCAGAGTAACGGCCTCCCTGTAGGGTTTCCAAGGCAAGAGATATTCAGAGGTGGCTGGACGCTGCCTGCCCCTACGTAGCGACCCCGGGCTTCCTCGGTGGTCTCCCATCCAAGGACTAACCAGGGCCGACTCTGCTTAGCTTCCGAGATCTGACGAGATCGGGCGAGCCTTGACATCTAGGTTTTACTGCTGTTAAAAGCAACTCGAGAGGGTAGGTAGGTTCCCTGCTTAATCCATTGATTTGGATCCCACATTTCCACCTGCTCATGGTGGAACCTTCCTCTAAGAAGCCTCGCGCTGGCGAGACACGCCCCTTGGAACGCATCACAGAAAGGAGTGGAAAGTGGTCCCAACCCGCGAAAGGATAACATAATCTCCAGTTTTAGAAAAGGTGTGTGTGTGTGTGCATTGCTTTAAATCCTCTTCAGTGTTAGTTTTAGATGGCGGAAGACAGGAGGGCCTGGCGGGAGCTGGTCCATGGGGTCGCGAAGAGTCGGACTCGACTGTGCGACTGAACAACAACAGCACCTTAGAGAACCAGTTTGGTGTAGTGGTTAGGAGTGGCGCACTCTAATCTGGGGGAACCGGGTTTGATCCCCCACTCCTCCACATGCAGCTGCTGGTGTGACCTTGCGTCGGTCACAAGTTCTCTCAGAGCTGTTCTCTCAAGAGCAGTCCTCGAGAGAGCTCTCTCAGCCCCACCTACCTCACAGGGTGTCTTGTTGTGGGGAGGGGGAGGGAAAGGAGATTGTAAGCCACTCTGAGACTCCTTTGGGTAGTGAAGGGCAGGGTATAAATCCAATCTCTTCCCTTCCCTTCCCTTCTCTCCTCTCCTCTCCTCTGAGACAAACAAGCTTTCAGGGAATGAGCTTTTCACGGTCAAAGCTCGCTTTGACTCTTGAGAGCACATCCCCCCAACATCCTGTTGGGGTCAAGGGTGCTACTGGACTTGAATCTAGTTTTTCTACTGGACCTCAACATGGCTAACCTCTGAAAAGAATGATAGCGTTACATTTTGTACAATTAAGAAACAGAGGAGAGGCCTGTAGGAAGAACCGCAGCTTCTTCTAATTGTTATCATTGAAACTTTTATGGTACACCTTCAACGATAACAATTAGAAGAAGCTGCGGTTCTTCCTACAGGCCTCTGCTCTGTTTCTTAATTGCTTTTGTCATTTCAGTCGTTGGAAAAGGACTCTACATTCTTATGCCACAGGCGACAGCTGGGAATCTTGCATCGGATCCACTGTCAATGTCCATATACTTAGTCCGCCGTGGAGTCCTATTACTTAACAACTTGAGGACGTTAACGACAATCCGCAGCACAGTTATCCGCGCATAATTCCCATCGATTTAAAGGAGACTTATATTCATAGCCTGTCAACGATAATTAGTTTCCAATTCCAAGCCCAGTAAAATGAATTAGGCTTTCCTTGAGTTGTTTATACCATTTTGCTCGAAAATTGCTCAAGCCGGGTGGAAGTATATTATTTAGAAGCCATCGGGCTGATGCTAACTATCCCCGTTTCTCAACGAAGCTGCCAAATGGAGATCGCTATTCCTGTTTTTTCCCCCCTGTTGGACTTAATGAGGTCTTTGAAACTATGTAAATTCGGTTGATATCATTATGATTTGGCAACAAACCGCCTTTCCCAGGGCTCGGTAAATTATCACACTTTATAGAAGGGATTACAAAAGGACACGGGGGCTACGGACATTTCGACGGGAGGCTTATTCACTCCTGAAATAGGAAATGTCGAGTTCGGCATCAGGTCCCCCCCCCCGGTGAGAAACGAATGAACCTTTGCAGTGCTTAAACGTACGAGTACTCCTTCCCCAAAAACCGCTCAGTAATGCAGACCTATTTATCCTTTCGATATTCCCCCCCGCTGCATTAATATTTAATCAAAATCACACTACTTGAAAAGCGGTGCTTATTTATTAATGTCTTTGTACTTGCAGAGGGAGTGGAGCAGAAAGGCCGGTCTCCGTCACCCGTGAAATGCAAACCGAAGCAATCGGAAAACCCGGAGGATGATAACGAAGGTAGGTGGGATTAAGCCTCCTCGGGGTCGTTTATCAGTTTTTCCATTACTCAGAGGAAGGTTCCCTTTGTTTTATTTCATTTCCGAAATTATACAGCGTACGGTCCGTTTAGCTGAACATATTCCTAGCGTCTATATTTACTGTGCAGTTTTGTAATCCGGCGTGGCCCTAGGGTATAAGGGGGTTTCTATTATCTTTCCTCATCTAATTGCGGCCTTAGGTTGAGCGAAAGTTGTTGGTTTTCTAATGTGGAGGTGGGAAGTGCTGTTACATTGCAGCCAACTTACGGCGTCCCTGTAGGGTTTTCAAGGCAAGAGGCATGCAGAGGTGGTTTTCCGCTGCCTGCCTCTGCGTAGCGACCCTGGACTTTCTTGGCGGTCTTCAATCAAAGCACTAACCGGTGCCAATCCTGCTTTGTATCCAAGATCCGATGAGACTGAGCTAGGCTCTGGATCAAGGTTTTACTGGTGCAAAAAGCAACTTGGATCCGTTGTAGGTGGTGAAAACTGCTGTCACGTCCCAGCCAAACTTACAGCATCCCTGTAGGGTTTTCAGAGGGGGCTGTGGTGGCTCAGAGGTTAAGACGCTAAGCTGCAGACCGGAAGGTCTGTAGTTCGGCAGTTCGAGACCCGAGTGCTGCGTGACAGAGTGAGCTCCCGTCTCTGGCCCCAGCTCCTGCCAACCTAGCAGTTCGAAAGCAAGAAACTGCAAGTAGATAAATAGGTCCCGCTTCAGTGGGAAGGTAACAGCGTTCCGTGCCCCTCGGCATTTGGTCATGCCGGCCACATGACCACAGAAATGTCTTTGGACAGCGCTGGCTCTTCGGTTTGGAAACAGAGATGAGCACCGCCCCCTAGAGTCGGATTTGACTGGCTTTCGAGCAAGGGAAACATTTTCCTTTACTATTAGGGGCAGCGGTGGCCCAGAGGTTAAGATGCTGAGCTGCAGACTGGAAGGTCTGTTGCTCAGCAGATTGAGATCCAAGTGCTGCATGACAGAGTGAGCTCCTGTCTCTGGCCCCAGCTCCTGCCAACCAAGCAGTCTGAAAGCAAGAAATTGCAAGTAAATAGATACCGCTTTGGTGGGAAGGTAACAGCATTCCATGCTCCTCAGCATTTAGTCATGCCAGCCATATGACCCCGGAGAAGTCTTCGGACAGCGCTGGCTCTTCAGCTTGGAAACGGAGATGAGCACCACCCCCTAGACTCGGATTCGACTGGTTTTCGAGCAAGGGAAACCTTTAGGGTTTTCAAGGTAAAAAATAAACAGAGGTGGTTTGCCATTTCCTCCCTCTGCATAGCAACCCTGGACTTCCTTGGTGGTCTCCCATCGAAGTACTAACCAGGGCCAACCCTGTTTAGCATCTGAGATCAGATACATTTGGGCTAGCCTTGACATCAAGGTTTTACTGCTGTAAAAAGCAACTGGAATCGGTTGTATGTGGTGGAAAATGCTGTTACGTCTAATGTTGTGGTGGAAAGTGCTGTTACATCACAGCCAGTTTACGGTGTCCCTGTAGGGCTTTCAAGGCAAGAGATGTTTAGAGGTGTTTTTCCACTGCCTGCCTCTGCATAGCAACCATGGACTTCCTTGGTGGTCTCCCATCCAAGTTATAACCGGGGCTCATCTTGCTTGGCTTCTGAGCGTTGATGAGGTTGTGCCAGCCTGGTCCTGATGTTTTTAAAAAGGTATTGGGGTAGATCCAGCCACCCTCCAAAAGACCTTCATCCAAGCTGTGTAGCTCTTTCTCCAGCGGAAGAGCCACTGACATTGGAGGAAGGCTTTAAACATGAGTCAAAAGGAAAGGTGGAGGGGGGTATAAATATTTTAATTAATAAATAATTAAATAAACCTCTCTCGATGAAGTTGTAATATAGGGGTTGGAGCCACCCCAATGTTCTGCAGGTTGCACTTACTACAGTCGGAAACATAAAAGTGCTTGGTTGTCCGAAGTTCTTGTTGCTATCATGAAACTAAGAAGTTGCAACTAACAGCGGGGCATGCATGCATCTCTCTATATAGTAATTCTCTGTTGGTGGTGGCATGCTGCTGAACATTCCACATGGCACCCACAGTCTTTGGCTCCATGATCTGTCACTCAGAAGCTGTCCCTATCCACTGGCTGTGTTGCCTGAGTCTCGCCTCCAACATTCTAAACAGTTTGCTGTATCCTCTCCCCCCCATAGCCAGTCAGAACACAGAGGTTATTTGCATATGTGGCCTGATTGGCCTTTGCCTCGGAGCACAGAGGTTGTTTGCATATGTGACCTCATTGGCCTTTGCCGCTAACATTCTAAACAGTTTGCTTTTGCTGTTCTGAGGTAAAATGTGTTCCGAGGTACCCTTAGTGCCTGTTGGGAGAAACCATTTTTGCCATTTTCGAGATGGCCTCTGTATGACAGCCAATGTGATGGAGCAGTCAGGGCTTCAGAGCATGGTAGAGGCTGCAGGTGAGGGGGGGTGGAAAGCTGAAGAGTGAGGGGGAAAGAAAGGTAGGTTGAGGATTGACTGGGAAGCAGATAGGGTTGCCAACTCCAGGTGGGAAATTCCTGGAGATGTGAGGGATGGAGCCTGGAGAGGGTGAGGTTTCAAAAGGAGTGGGACTTCAGAGAGGTACAATGCCATCGACTCCACCCTCTAAACCAGCCATTCCCTCATGGGGAACCATTGCTGCCAATCTCCAGGTGGGGGCTGGAGACCACTCAGAATTACAACTGCTCTCCAGGAAAGAGGAGGGAGGAGATGGAAAGCTGAAGTCAGAGGGTCAGATAGGGCTGCCAACTCCAGGTTGGAAAATTCCTGGAGATTTGAGGGGTGGAGCCTGGAGAGGGTGGGGTTTGAGGAGGGGTGGGACCTCAGACAGGTACAATGCCATAGACTCCATCCTCCAAACCAACCATTCCCTTATGGGGAACCATTGTTGCCAATCTCCAGGGGAGGGCTGGAGATCACTCAAAATTACAACTGTTCTTCAGGTAGCAGAGATCAGTTCCTCTGTGTCATGGTAGAGCCAGGGAGTCAGGCTGGGAGGGTGGGTCACAAGACAAGTCCGAGGGTCAGCTGGGAGAGCAGTCAGCAGAGCGTTAAACAAGTCCCAAAACACCAGACACAGCCGTAGTCAAACGTTACCAGAGGTCAGAGTCCAGATAACCAAGCCGAGAGCATCGTCAGATTCAAAGCTGGGAGTCAGGATCCAGAGCAGAAGTCCAAAAACACAAGCTGAGTCCAAACAGCCACACAGTCAAACAGGAATCAAGGTGCAGAGCTTCTGGTTTTACGAGCAAGGTTGCCAGTGCAAATTGCTCATGGCCAGAGGCCCTACTAAATAGTGCTCTGGCTCATTAACCCATTAGCACAAGTCCTGGCTGCTGTTAAAACTCAGGGCTCAAGGATCTCCACCCTCTTGAACGTGCTTCTTTTTGTCGGCTAGCCAGATCCTGACGTCTCCTATCCCTAAGCCTGCTTACAGGTGGGGGAGATGCAGGTGGTGAGCTGCTTACAGCTGGAGCAATCCCAGGTGCAAACAGTCCTATAGTTGGCTCAGATTGCTGTGTATCCTCCTCCATACTTACAGTAGGTGCAGATCCTGATGCTTCTTCAGCTCTTAAAGGCACAGAATCCTCCCCTCTTAGGCTGTCAGGAGCTGGATCTGGGGCTGAGTCAAGGGCAGGCATGACACTCTGGAGAAAATGGTGGACTTGGTGTCATACCCTGCTGAGGTCGTCACAGCAAATTGACACTGAGTGCCCAAGGCCGGGGCACTCTCCCAGAGCCTCTTTCTAGAGCTCGTTGTATTTATTTCCACAATGGGCCTTATTCCTAGTAAATAGATAAAACAGTGAGGTCTACAAAGTTCAGAAATAACAGGCTGAATATATGAGTTTATCCAGTTTGCAATATTTGAGTTTTCTTGACTCAAGCTCACTTGATCCTGAAAAGAGCAAAAGTCTAGTAACACCTTAAAGACCAACAAAATTTGTGGCAGGGGAGGAGCTTTCGTGAGCCACTGCTCACTTCTTCAGACATAGCTAGAATATGAGTCCATCTGTCCTTATATCTTGGAGAGTGACGTGATTTCATATCCAAGATATCAGGACAGATGGACTCCCATTCTAGCTGTATCTGAAGAAGTGAGCAGTGACTCACAAAGGCTCTTGCTCTTTTCTGCTGCTTTTTGTTGTTGTTGTTCAGTCACACAGTCAAGTCCAGCTCTTCACGACCCCATGGACCACATTACGCCAGGTCCTCCTGTCTTCCATTGTGCTCCGGAGTTTGCTTAATTTCGGGTTCATTGCATCAATAACACTGAGCAGACCGGAAGATCTGTAGCTCAGCAGTTCGAGATCCTAGTGCTGTGTGATGGAGTGAGCTCCCGTCTTTGGCCCCAGGTCCTGCCAACCTAGCAGTTCAAAAGAAAGAAATTGCAAGTAGATAAATAGGTAACACTTCAGTGGGAAGGTAACAGCATTCCTTGCGCCTCGGCGTTTAGTCATGCCAAGCACATGACCATGGAGAGAAGTCTTCGGTCAGCTCTGGCTCTTCCGCTTGGAAACGGAGATGAGCACCGCCCCCTAGAGTCAGATTCGACTGGCTTTCGAACAAGGGAAACCTTTGCCTTTATTGGGAAGGAGCTCCTTGAGACAAGACTATATTCCTCAACATCATCTGGCACTCTCTCCTTAAAGTGTGCAAGGATCTACAAGAGTTCCATAGCTCTGTTGCAGAGTTAAGTTAGAGGACCGTAACTGTGATTCAGCACCCAATTTAGTGCTGATTTCCAGGCAGAGTCGGGACCCGCAAATGGGTCTTGCCCTGACCCCAGCTGAGCCTTTGCAATGGCGTGACCGCTCTTTTCTCATTTCTGATCAGGCCTGTCAGAGAGGGCGGTCAGATGCAAAGGGCGGGCGGCCTTCCTGTAGCCTTCAAATAACCCCGCCAAACAAGAAAATTCGGCAGAGGCCGTTTTCTTCACCCCTGAATCACAAACGGCATCAGCGAAC